TTACTACCACCATCGCCATGGCACCATCAACACTATTATCATTATTACCACCACCATCACCACTACCATCACTGCCACCACCATTACCACCACCACAGTCAGGCTACCATCACAATTATCACCATCAGCGCCACCATCACCATCATCATCACCACAACCACCACCACTGCTGCCATGGCACCACCAACACTATCATCATTATTACCACCACTATCACCATTATACCACCACTATCACCACCACCGTCACCACCATCCTCACCACAGTCATCATCAGCATTATCACCATCAGTTCTGTTACTATCCATGCCACCACCACTATCATCATTAACATCACTGCCACTATCACTCTCACACCACAGTCACTACCAAATTCTGGCTATGTGAGTTGAATTTCTCAGTTGGCTCTCTATTTTGAGACATCACTGGCCCTCTCTCCCAGGTGTCACCTTTAACAGAATTGCCTGCGGAGGATATAGGAGCCACCCCTTCACTCCACACAGTGTAGGAAGGACATGATGCTCTCGTGTGCAGAGAAGCTGGTTGGAGATGTTGTCAGCTGCCTAGGCAAGTGGAGAAGCAGACCATACGCTGCACAGCAGATGGCTGTGACAATTCCATCTCCAGGAGGGCCTGTGTGGTCATGGCAACACTGAGGTGGTCTGCAAACTCCATGTAGGTCCTCATTGTCTCCTGTGCTTTGGGTGGATACTGTAAACACAGGTTTGCTTTCATCTAAGGAAAATTCACACTCTGAGAGAACTCTGGCACAAAGCACCTTTGCCAGCCAGTAATTTTCTGACAAATTTAAACACTGGTTCTTCTTTGTGCAGCAAGCTTCTCTTTACGGCCCCGTTGTGCATCCCTGCTTTGTGTTCTCTGTTCGCTAGCTTGCTCACTCCCAGTAGAAGTCCTCCGCTATTCTCAGAGGCTTTGCCGCACTTGAGGGCAACTGTGGCCTCACCTAAGTATATGCCATCACATTAATGACACATCCAATGTGCACAACACACTTGCTCTAAGAACCTCAAGAAACAAACTTCCTGACACAGCTCCTCCCTGTAGCTACCTCCTCATGTCTCTGTCAGTACGAGAGCTCATTCTGCATCCGTTTTGTTCAGGGCAGTCTTTCTAGCCAAGGATCATTTAATTCACATTACAGTGGCTTTTAAAAATAATACAGCTATTCACCTTCTGCAGGGTTTTTCAAACCCCACCACTTTTGGCAGTCTGGGTGGATCATCCTGTGGTGAGGACCATGCTATGCCTCAAATGACATGGAACAGCATCCCTGCCTTCTACCCACTAGACACCAGTGACACCATCCCGAGTTGTGACAACCGGAAATATTCAGACGGTTTGTTGACTGCTCACTGGGGGGAAAAATCAGAGCTGGTTGAGAATCACTGACCTACAGTGAAACTGCAGATTCTGAAATAACTAATGATCTTATAACAGCCAACTCATAATGCCATCTACCTTGTTGCTAGCACATTCTACTTAGGAGTGAGAAGTCATCTATGCCCGAAGTGAAGACACGATGAACTTAACATGAGAGGTGGACAGCAAGCTTCTGAGTTCTGTATGATCCATGATATTTAAGATGCATCCATCCGTCTACTCGACCATCCATCCACCCAGCCGTCCATCCATCCATCCGTCTAAACAACCACCCATCTGTCTAGACATCTGTCTGTCCACACATTTATCCATCATCCATCCATTGGTCCATCTATCTATCTGTCCATCAATCCATCTATCCTTCTGTCCATCCACATGTGCACACATGTTCCATTCTCACCTGTGTGGGCCTTTGCTGCAGGTGTGATGAATGGGCCATACATAGGCTACATGAGGATTTCATAGGGGTGGTGCCACTCCCAAGGGGCAGTTTTGAAATCTGAGGGACTTTTTGGTTATTTCAATGTCTGGGGTGCCATTAGCATCTCTCAGACATGGGCTAGGGATGCCAGAACATCTTGCGAGGCACAGAGAGCTGTGTGAGCACCTCACCACCTCAGCGGCCAGCCTGGAAGTTCAGAATTAAGTTCAGACCTTGATTTTATTTTACATTTAAGACTTACCTGCCTTTGCAGGATTAATTAAAATTCTACACTGAATCTTTCAGGAGAGCAACTGCCTTATAAACAAAAGGGAAGTTTCCCAGAATGTCCCCAGAGTCCTTCACCAATTCAGAGAATTGTGCCAGTGATGACCATGCCGACTGGGCCTCAAATCTACAGTCCATGCTGTGCTGATGTCCCTTTCACAGAGGCCCCAGGACCAGCCCCGGACAACGTTGCGCTGTGTTCCAGAACAGTCCTGGCATTATAGTGCTTTCCTGCTTTTCTTCCTTTACATCACAGTTCACTAAATACTCATTTCTTTAAAAATGCATGCCAGGGAGAATGGGATCTTGAACTGTGGTGGTTACACAAATCCACACGTGAGATAAAATTACAGAGAACTTCTTGGGGTGATGAACGCATTCTAAAATTAGATAGTGGTGTTGGTTGCATAACTGAACACACTAAAAACCACTGAACTGCATTAAATGGGTGAATTTTATGGTATGTAAATTATATCTCAATAAAGCTGTTAAAAAAAAACTTAAGTGGTTCTCAATTGCTCTTAGAATGAAACCCTGTGGATATGGGACTGCCCATTCCAACACACCAGAGCTATTGCCCTCACTCACTTGGGGAACTGCCCCCAGTGGCTTTGATTGTTCAGGGTCATGGACAGACCATGGCTGCCTTGGACAGGTTTCCAGATAAGCCACAGATCTCTCACCTTGGGCTACCTTGTTGTTCCTTGCCTAAAACCTTCCTCTTTCCGCCTGTGTCCAGCTGACTCCTGCTCTGCCTTGTGGGGACTTCATTAACACTCACCCCTACCTGACCGGGTTCCCTTCCTATACACAATGGCACGTCTCCTTTATGCCATCCCCCCTTGGCTGTAACTGCCACTTACTTTGCTGACTCCCCTTTTTCCTACTGGCTCCCTGATGGCAGGTCCGTGTCCACCTTGGGCACCACTGCACGGCAGTGGTGATGCAGAGGCTGGAGGAGGGACACCCTAGGCATGTGACCTTACACCCTACTCTGCAAGCATAGGCCAGGCATCCTGGGGAAGCACCTGCCACTCTTCAGTTCCTTAGGCCTTACCTCACCACTCCACGAGAGGACTCATGCAAATAATTTGGCTGTTAAGTCATAAAAACAGACTTGTATCTGCGAAGTGTATCAGGCAGCGGTCCTGTGCACCCATCTGCAAGGGGCTGAGCCTTCAGGACGCAGCCCTGACGACGCCTCATCTACATGCTTCCTTCCTTACTCCCTAAGGCTGGGAAGTAAGTGTCACCAATGTCCTCCTCAGATCAGAGGCAGGGCACTGGGCAGTGGAGAGAGAGGCCCAGTCACTTTCCTGTCGAGTGGGACTGAAGAGTGGACACAATGACAGTTCTTCTGGGCTCAGCACCCCAGAACCCTGCATCTTCATGGTGCAATTCAAGTTTCTCCCCACTTCTCCTCCCTAGAGTTCCCACGACAGAAAGACGAACACTTCTTGACAGTTTCTAGAACTACACGTTGTTCGGGTTGCCGAATATCAAATGGTGACATTAAAATTACTTAATTTTATATCCTCAATATACTCTTTTGCTAGCTTTTTTTCTTCCTTTCAAATTTCTTATGGCTTATTATAAACTGATATAATTACTTCCCAGGAAGTTTGATTTTCATTTCTTCATCTGCTGCTTTAATAAAAACCTTTTTCTCTCCTGTTAACTTGGGGGGAAGATACGTCACAAGTGTAACTTTTGAGAAGTTGCAAGATTAAATGCTGGTTATGCCTTTTCTCAAGTGTGTTATTATAGGAGGCAGATCAGTTAGAATTAGCGATGTGGGGGGGTGGTGGATGGGGAAAAGGTAAGAAGCAGGACGAATGTCATTCATTTCCCCTCCCACTTGTACCCCCCTACCTAGCACCTACCTCACCTGCTAGCTGCCATCCCTCTAGGTTTTCCCACTTTTGCAAGCATGGACCACAGGGCCTTTGGATGTCTAGAAAGACTGCATCTCAAGGATTAGTTGTGAAGAAAGCAGATGACATGCTTCTTGCTTTCCCTATCTTACCTCCATACACACTGGTAGAAAACTCTTGAACAATTACAAGAATTAAAAATGAAATAAGTAACACCACTCAGCAGCAAGCTCACCAGATAAGATGCTTCCACGGCCATCTCTAACTTCGAAAGTCACTAAGGCAATTCACTGAGCCTGTCCCAGAATGCATTATGCACAGGAGAAGGGCTGCAGTCAATAAATATGGAAACCCTGACTATTCTGCAGGGGCTGAATGCTTTTACATAAATTCCCCTACGATTAACAATCTTTTCAGAAATCAAACTGCACACGTAAAACTACTTACAGGTGGCTTTTCTTCTCTATCAAGCAGTGTAAGGAAATCCTTAAATGAGGGACTAAGATCCATTATGGACCAATGGAATCAGGCATCATCTCTATAATTTCCTGACACATGAGATAAATCCCACAGATGCCTGGAACGCGACATGTAAATCCGCCTGTTTGTGGGCCCAAGCAAGGAAGGTGAAACACTATTACTTCATTACAAGCAGAGCACAACATCTCAAAAGCCAATACTGGCAATGTATAGTCAGCAGACAGACAAGTCAGGGGAAAAACAGAGACGGACTTGGCCCTCGGGGTGCCAGGGTTGTTTCCTAAAGGGTTTGGGACAAGTGGGTCAGACCTGACAATCCAGTTTATCCTGTCTGCAGTGAAGTTTAGTGTTGGGCAGTTAACTCAATAATTAGCTTTCAAATGGTTTCTTCCTAAATCATCAGAGGGCCCATGGGGAGAGAAAGGCTGGGCAATCCCACCTCCCTCCTGTGGTTGAGGGTGAATCTGGCCTGGGAGGATTTCATACTCAAAGTCCTAGAGTTGGCCGGGCTGCTGCTCGTGGCTCTCCTGCCCCTAGGGTTGGGGACGCCACTGTCATGGCTCTGAGGGTGGACCCTGTCAGTGCTTCACCTCACCACAGCATCTCAGGAGGCAGCTCCACGTCTGCCAAACCCTCCACGCCCTGGTCTGTAAGTTGAGAAAGAAGTTGCCGACACCTGGCACAGTACAAGAGCCGATGAGAACACCTCTGTGGATAGGGGCAGGACATGGACAGCTTGCTCGGTAGGACAAAACCAAGACATGGATAGCTTGCCTCCCAAGTTGGCTTCTTGATTTGGGACAATGACAGGGGACTGAGATGGTATTAGAATATACACAGATGCAATTCCAAATCCAAAATACAGCCTTCCCCACCATAGCCCTCACCAATAAGCCCTCTGCTGAGTGAAGAATCTTCCCAAGGCTTTGTTGACATAAAATGCACTTTCAGAGGTCAGTCACATACATCCACTGCTCCCCACTGCTGTGGGAACAGATATTCACAGGCAAGGGGCCGGGGCGGATGGGAGAGGACACTGCTCCCTGCCCTGCTCTTTGTGCCGTGTGACTGGGTGCGAGGCTCTTCTCTGTCTTGTGCCGCCTCCATGGAAGCTTCAGGCTTGGTGTCCCAAAACAGCAGTCATGAGGATGACCCCAAGAAAATGGGTCATAGGAGGCAGCCTGGGCAGAGGTAGGTAGAACATGAGTGAAGTAGAAGGTCACTCAAGAAGGCTGGAGGCAAGCATCATCATCACCCAAACTGTAGAGATGACCACTGGGCACTGTCACCCTGAATAAGGGTGGTTGGTGCAGAGTCCAGCCCCCTAGAATGGGCCACTCTTTGACAGCGAGATGGCAAAGAACTGCTGCCAGAGCACTGTATACAAAAATGCTTCTTTCCCTTAAGCGGTGGGAGCTACTGAGACAAAGTCCCTCTTCTGAAACTGGTATGGAAATTGCTCTAAGAACCTCCGTGGAGGACTCCGTAATCTGTGCTGAATTCCTGTGTGGCATGACTGCGTCTCTGCAGCTCATTAAAGGGGTAGGGAGTTATGTGGAACATGGGATAGGCAGTCTGTGGACAAGTTGAGGGCAAAACACCAAAATGCTTGGGTGCAATTTCACTTTTCAGGTTTAATAAGAAAGGGTAGAAAAGGTGTTTGTAGTTCAGAATATTAACAGGTAATTTTACATTGGGACTATCTCCTGCCATCAACACACACCACGGTTAAAACAGTTTTTAGCAAGCAGTAAAAGTTGTTGAAGTTCTCTCTCGAGTCTGTCCCTACCTTCTGAAAAGGCAAAAAAATTACAATGTAAGCAAGATGGGCTATATGTCCAGTTTCAAAGTGTCCCCATGCCACGCTCAGTGAAGGCAGGGACAGACAGTCCTTATTAGTGAGGGACTCGGGGCAGAGAGCTGCAGGGAACTTGGAGACTTGGCTTTGCATGAGCATGGGAGAACGTGAGACGGGAGACTATGTAAATGAACAGCTTTAATTTCCCCTTTCCTTGGGTCTGATGGCAGCTGGCCCGGCCATCCACACTGACCTTTGTTCCAAAGTTCCCAGCACAGGCCGCTAAGGACGGCCTTGGCATGGGTTAAAAACACAGAGCTGGCTGGCACCAGTGTCCTTGAGGCAGCAGAGATGAAGCCTGGGAGTCCCCTGGCACATCACACCACAGTAGGCAGGTGCCACCCAATTCCCAACTGCCTCCCAGGAGGCCGGGGGGAAATAAAAGAAGTTAATGAGAATCCTGCTTTCAAAGCAGCAGAGTGACATTGCATATTCAGGACCGAGACGCCCCTTAATGCGGCCTACTGCATAGCCAGGTCCCCACAGCTGTTCTCCTAATGGAAATTTAAATATTTCAGGGCTTTTCGATTTTGTTTTATTTTTGTGCTGTTGTTGTTATTATTATTATTGCCGTTTCTCCATCACTAAGCTTGAAGATTGGCCTAAAAAAAGAGAGAATAGCCTTTTCACATAGCACAAAAGACAGCCCCGACGCGCTGGGCCTGTTTGTATATTCATTATACAGAACCGACACTGGCGAGGAAAAGTTCATCGGGACAAGGTTGAACGCAATTACGTCTCCGAGGCTCGCTCTATTTAAGTCGCTTCCTACCACCAGAATGGTGATAATGCAACGGACGACATTCCTCCCGCGTCCAAAACGGTGCAGAGCGCATGGAATCCAAGTCGCCTTTGTCCTTTCAGAGATACCCGCTATCTTCCCCGAGAACACAATCTGTGTTTATTTTACAAACCGTAATACAAATGGAAATAAAAGCACTTCACAGAGATTAGAGGAGCTGGCGCTTGAGGTGTGATTAACCATGTTCTGTGGGGCGGGAGCTGCAAGCAGAGCCGGGCAGCCACTTTCCTCGTCTGTGTTCTCCATTGTCTCCTGAAACCTTCACCTAATACCTCTCTGGTCGGGAGGACTGTAGGTTTGTTTAATAGAAATCTCTTATGGAAGCTAAAAAGCCACAGGGGAGAGAAGTTGCCCCAGTGCTCCTCCTTCTCTTCTGGGAGGCAAGGGAAAAAGTACAAAGGTCTCTCTACCCCTCTTTCAGCATGGTTGGAACCACCCATTCTAAAGACCCTCCTGAGCCAGGTATAGTGGTGCACACCATTAATCCCAGCTACTCAGGAGAAAGGGGCAGGAGGATCTAGAGTTCGAGGCCAGGCTGGGCAAAGTTAAGAAAGACCCTGTCTCAAAAACAGAGTACAAACTAAAGGACTGGGGCACAGGTCAAGAGCTAGAGGGCTTGCCTAGTCAGTGCAAGGCCCTGGGTTCACTCACCCAGGACCATCAAAATAAATCAATAAAAGACCCGTTAGGTTTATTCCCAAGTAGATCAAGTATGGAAATCAGTATTGAAGGCCCCAGCGAAGAACAGGGAAGACAGACATGGCTGAAAGTAGGAAGGAGAGAAAAACTCCACTTTAAGAGGAAGGTCACACAGGATGCAGGAAAACGAGGGAAGAAAGAAGAGAGGCAGGGAAAAAGGGTGACAGGAAGTAGGGCAAATGAGAGACAGAACACGTGTCTCAGTGAAAGCTGGGAAGGAGGAGACCCCAGTAACAAAGGGTGAGGCCAGAAAACAAGACTGAAATCCGGGGAAAGCCCTCTGTTAAAACCACCATGAATAAAACCAAAGGACATGGAAACACCGGGCAAAGACTGGCAGTGAGCAAGGCAGGCAGCACAGCCAGGGCAGAAGGAGCCCCCACGAGTGAGTGGAGAGGAGAACTCGGGAGAGCAAGCAGGAAGAGCCACCGATGGAAACCAGGAAAGAGCAAACGGCCAATGTAGGAGTGGCAACGGTAGATTAGCTCTAGCAATCACAGCACATGAACTTTAAGTGAAATGCCTCCCAAAATTGGCCCAAACTAAAATATTTACTGACGCCTATGTATAAATGTGCATGCATGCACACAAGCATGCACACACACGCATATAAGCATGCGACACACGTGTGCACACATAAACACGTACACACACAGATGTGCGCACACACGCATGAACGCCGGTTAAGGTGACATGGATGGCCTGTGGCTGGGACTTTCTTTGGAGGGTGGTGCAGTAGCACATGCAAGAACCTTAGACACGCCCCAATTCTTCAGTCCTGAGAGTTAACCTCGAGGTTGAGCATTTGATCAGAGGCGTGTGAAAAAAACCTATGATGCAAATCACCACCTGAGAGGATTTTCCATAATGCAAGATGGAAGCCCCTAGCTTTGAAACACGAGGCGATGCAAACAGTGGGAACCCCTCTGATAGGATATTTCTGCAGCTAGAGGCATTAGCGTCTTGGAACAGCATAAGGCAGGCAAGCAGAATAAAAATATTTGTTTAGAAGTCTGACTCTTGATTTGGTGTAAAATTGCTTTCATTTGAAACATGAGTATGGTCAAAGTGTAAAGGCTTTCTTTTCGGAAAAGCAATTTTTGTGAGCAAAGCAATTAATCAAATATTTATTTACATAACATTAAATCTCACCCTCCTATTTTTAAGTCTATAATTGAAACCAAGGTAAATTTATGGAAATAAGTTTTACAGGAACAGCATTAGACTATTTGGTCTAACAGATGCATTTTAAACCATCTCTGGCTAGCGGTACCTGGTGGGGGTGGGGCTCCCCTCTTCCCAGTTAGATGGCAGGAAGGTGGCTCCAAGGGGGCCTCCTGACACCCCCCTTCCCATCTTTCTGGGTGTGCACAGCCTTGCCATTCTCTGTGTTCTGTAAGTAAGTAGCTGGTCATTTGCCTTGCCTGGGAACATAACTTTTCCAATTTAACAACCTTTACATGGTAGCCGTATTTAAGTGGAGGAATGTGCGTTTTCCTAAAAATGTCATGGTCCCCCTAGGGTCCACAGTCCACCACCATCCTGTCTGCTGCATTGTGACTTACTTCTGGGTGTGGTGGGAGCCAGGTGCACTCGGGCCGGGGGTCTCTGAGGAGAAAGAAGCCAAGCTTTTGACCACAAGCTCCCCCACCAGCAACGGGGCAGAACGAGGGGCAGGGATGGCACAAAGGGACCCTCTCAGCCCTTGTCAAGACATGACGTGCGAAGGACCCAGGACAACAACCCCCACGACTAGTAAAAACACAGGGCATGGGGTGTGGGTCACAGGAAACACTCTGTATTTTGTACCTGTTTTTCATTTTCTTTTTTAAAGAAATTTAACTGAGAGCACAGCTAAATATAACATGGGCCAGGTGGATCCTGAAATGGTGAGAAAACCTCGTTTCTCAAGCCGAAAGTAAGAACCACAGTCCCTTAGCCTACGATGACTTTGGGCAGGGTGGGGGGTGTAAGGGGCAGACGTAGCATTTGCAAGTTTTCACCCTCCAGCATTCTGGTCACCAGCACCCTGGTGAGTGCTTAGGACCCTCGCTGTGTCTGTCCCCACACGGGATGCTCTGCCATCCGCTTTGAAGGGGGCATCCCTGAGTTACTGCTCATGACTCCTCCTTGGCAAGTTGGACCCTTCCTCTAGTGTGGGACCCTGAACACTAATGTAGCTTCCTGCATGGGACGGTCTGGGGCCAGGATCTGAGGGTCCAAATGGACCTGGTCATGCCAACCCCTCAGGAGGGAGAGATGGAGAGAAAAGGAAAGGGTAAAGACCCATACCAAAAGGAGAAGAAAACACGCATCCCTGCACACGCATGTGCACACAGACACAGATACACCACAGACACACACACAGATACACACAAAACACACAGCTACAAAGGCAGATACACAAACACTGAGATACACAGACACACACAGATACACAGAGACAGACAGACACACAGAAACACATAGACATTCACAGATACACACAGAAATGCATAGACACATACAGATTCACACACAGAGCCAGGCAAGGCTCAGTCCCGCCAGTTCTGTCCATAACACAGCTCCAGTGAGTTGTAGTCTTCACATCTGCTCAATTTAACAACTTAGCCAGCAGTCCTCTTTGGAAATTAGTATCTGTTCCAGTGACTTCCGGTGTTCCTTATGATAGCAGTGGCAGTTCACAGGGAAAGGGTTGCCACACTTGACTCCAGGTACTGCTGCTGTGACAGCTGTGTGATCTGGGGCAGAAAGGTATGCTAAGACAAAAGGAATAATTAGAGTGAGCCACCAAAGCAGCCCTGGATTTAAATGTTTAAATGTTTTAATTTAAAAGAACAATGGCTCCTTGAAGCGTCTTCACAAGCCAGGCTGACAACCTGCCATTTATTAATCAGCGTTAAGTAACCGCGGCTTGGGTTTGACACCAAACAGCAGACGACGTGTGATGATCCCGAAAATAGCAGCCACGTCTCAAAGCTGATTTCCAAATGACTCCGGCATGGCACGGCAGGCTCCGGAATATTTGCTGCACCCATTTAGTGCACATCAGCCGTGCCGGGGCAAGTGCGTGTGTGTGTGTGTGTGTGCATGTGCGTGTGTTTGGGGGGGGGGTGACGAGAGCAAGTGCATGGCGGTGTCCAGGAGAAGCAGGGTGCTGTTCACGCAGGTGGGACGCAAAGCCTCTCAATTACACAATGCGGGAAAAAGCAGCCACCACACAGTAAGTGC